TCGACATTATTGCCGGTTTCAGGTACAGTTGAATAATAAATGAGATGACGAGCTCTCCGCGCGGTCGTTTCTAACCGTTGTGAACTCCTGGTGGCTCGTTTGAAATATATCCCGCATAATATTGGAACAGTGGCGTAGGCAGAATTTTTATTTCGACCGCGAACGACGGCCGTGGGGGGGAAAGGTGGAAGGTGAAAGAAGGGTAGAGGTTGTAGCGTATCGCGTGGAGTGTATCGAGCGGAACAGCCCGAGCACGGTCGCGCGCGCCAGCTTAAGAGAGGAAACTGGCGCGTTCGGAACCGTAGGAACGCGCTATAAAGCAGACACATTGCGTTGCTGGCCCCCTTTCTGCCTCGTACTCGTTTCATAAACTTCGGGATATTCTTCCGCGCAACGCCAGAACCGACGCTCATCCCCCGCGTCTCTCCTTCTCGTCCTCGTCCACCGCCGCCTCTCGTTCTTTCGCAATTTTCGGTCGGCGAAATTCAATTTCGCGTTACATTAATTGCGTCTCGACGTCGAAGCTGGCGTCCCCATCAGGAAGGCTCGTCGTGACGGATGATTCGTTTTTCACGGTGAAGAATGTCGATGCAAGCGAGGTAATTGCGTTTCGAGAGGAGAGAGAGGACTTTGGCTTATCGTCGAAGAAGATGGGACACATCGCTCGAACCTTGAAACGTTAGCTTGGGAAAAATTCTACTCTTTTGCTCTATGTTCTTCCGGTGGTTTCAGGTTCTCGGATAGAGAGTGGGGCTTCCTCCCCTATCTGGATACATTGGTTTCCGATGATTAGCCCCGCTCGATTGGGAGGGAGGGCCGATCGCTACGCGCGCTACACGCTTCTACTCGGTAGTTTCCACTTATTATCGCGACTGGTATTTAGGTAGGAAATGTAGGTAGTTGGGAGGATGCCAGTAAATTCTGGATACGGTCGCGTCCAGTCTCGTCGAACAATCGGGATTTTCTGGCTTCAGAACGCGTTTCACGGGACACGGACGATCCGGTTGTCTGGTAGTCGATTAAATTTGATTTTGAGGGGAGGATAGAGAGGCAGGTGGAGGCTTTTTTTAATCGTCGAAATGTGTTGATCATTTTTAGATTAGTGATAAAGGGTTAAAAACATCATGAAGTGTGATAAAGGGTGATAAAGTTCAAAACCATTTGAAAATAGAAATCAAATTTAACAAAGGCTCCCTGGAAGCACCAATTTTAACCCTTTTGGGACAAGTGAGTCGCATAAGATGAAATTCATCTCAATTCAGTATTCATTACTGACATGACAATCGATAGATAAATAAGAAATTCCTAAAAAAACGTAATTCAGTCACGAAAGGGTTAAATATGCAGATGAAGCCCAAGAAGAAATCATAGTGTTTGAAATAAATAATACCTAAAAGAAATTTAACGAGGATATACAAAGTAGAGCTGAATTAACACCATTTAAAAAAGTCCTGAAAGCAATTTTAACCCTTTCGTGACCAGTGGGACGTGTTATATTCCAGTTGAGTATTCCGACAAAAATTGATCTCAATTCAGTATTCATTACAGACACGACGATCGATAGATAAGTAGCAAATTCTTAAAAAAAATAATTCGATCGCGAAAGGGTTAAATTTGCGGGTGAAGCCAAAGAAGAAGTCGAGACACTTGACACAAGTACAATAATACGAAAGGGACAAACAGTGTGTATGGAATCGCTGGCACGAAACATGTAGGTGCAGTTACGTTGATCAGTGAAATTGTACGTTAGAGATTTGGCGCATGTTGGGTGTTTGATAAGGTTAGAGATGGTAATTTTCGAAAGGGTAAAAACTCGCGGTATACGCGTTCCGTTTCGACGCCGCGCCGGCGTTATTAAAATCCGGCTGGGCTTTCTAAATATGCCGGGCGCGCAGTACCGTCGGTTTTTAAGGTTAATTTCGAGCGATCGTTACTTTCTACGAGCGTGTTCCACCTCTCAGGTAATTCTTGGACCCCTTCCTCAAAAAATTCCAGCCCCGTTCACCGTGGGAAACTCGGCGCTAATTTTCGCAGCTAATTTCTAGCGGTCGGTATCGTTCGCTTCCTTTTTCTTCTCCCCCCGCCCCGCCGCTGTCCGCGAAAAGGAATTTTCCGACCACCGTGGCAAAAAACAACCTTCCGCATTCGGTAATTAATTCTCCAATTTCTTGTTGAATTAAAAGATAAGTAGAATTTCCAGCACTTTGGTGTACCGGGCGTCTCACTTGTAACGAACGTTTGGATTATTTCAGCTGCTGTTGAAAGTAAGAGGAAATCACTGAAGGAGTTTATTATAGAAAGAAGTTCTCCCAAAGTCGTGCATAATTTTCTGCATATTAATTATGCTTCCATTGTTCAAAGTCATTTCAAGGTCATGTTGTCACCACTCGTTGAACTCGTCTTCATGCGAACTACAACGTAGCATTATAAAAAACAGACGTTAACGTGCAAAAAAATTTGGACGATCTTGGCGTGACTTTCAGGATGACCTTATGAGGAGGTCGAAATTTTGTTACTATTTAAGGTTATAATGTTATGGGTCACTGAATGTGTGTCAATGACAGCTGCAACAACAAAAATTTCGATGACCTTGGAATGATCTTTAAGATGACCTTGAGAGGACTTCGTATTTATCGTCACCTTATCTTATCTATCTATCTTATCTTAGTATAACCTTATCTTAGTCATTTCTTTTTACATCCAACAGCATTGGAAATAATTTAGATGTTCGTTATAAATGAGACACCTAGTCTACAAGGAATTTGAACGAAAAAATTCTCTTCATTTCCCACTTTCTTACCATCAACAGGTACACATTCTCAAATCTCATAAACTCCTCTCAGTCATTTTTTTTTCTACATCCAATACAATCCTCCAATAATTTAGATGTTCGTTATAAATGAAAAACCTTGTATACACTTTGTTAAGAAAAAGAAACTAATAATAACATCCAAATCATCTACGTACACACTTTCAAACAGACACAAACACCAACGTCTCTCACTTATCAGTATCGCCAGTGTGGAGAGCTCGTCCGTTCTCCGGGAAACAGCGGAAGTCGAATTAACTCGGAAATCGCGCGACAAATTAAAAGTATCGTGGCCATTTTCAGACGAAGGGGCCGTGTTCCGGTTCCTCGGGCGGGTTCTCCATGCTAGAGGTCCTCGTTTAAATTCCCCCCGTAGCCGGAAGTGGCGGACGCCGCTCAGACCGGATGCGCATAGCTGCGACCGCGGCCTCTGCCTCACTTTCCTCTCCCATGGTGGCCGCCACTCGATTAGCCAAATCGTTCGGAAAACGATACGATCTCTTTGCTCTGTACTTAACCGTAACCGTAAACCCCAATGGCGTCGAGAGGGCCGTAGCAGCGGTGGCTGCCTTTTAGAATCGTCGTACCCGCTCGAAAAGGCGAACCCACCGAATCGTTGGATGGCTGCAAAAGCTAAAAGACAGACATCGTTGAACTTTTCACTGCCTACCAAAGCTCTCTCTTTCCAAACCACCGTCTATAGCGTCACCAAACACCATCAACTTCTCGATCACAGTATTTTCTCCATACCTTTTTTCTTCTCTTGCGTTTTAGATGTACAGCGTTTCGGTTTGAAAAATAGAGAACAGCGAGCGTTATTACCTTCGTTTGTTCTGTGATGCCCGGTTTTGCCCGAATTTCTCAAAACTGAGGACAGGTATGGGGGCGACACTTAAATCGAAGCAAGTGAAGATCGACGTTGCGTAGAAAGTTTAAGACAGGCGGAATGTGGATGACAATGCAGAGTGAATCGAGGATGGAAGAATAGGACTATTTAACCCTTTCGCTACGACAGATTTTAATGCCTAATGTGAAAAATTTCTTATTTTGGCCGTATCATTTTAAAATTAGGTTTATGAAATTAAGGTGGCAAGGTTAAGGTTAATTTTCAAAACGCCTATAGGCGCCAATAGTAATAAAAGGGTTAAGGGTTTGAGGAAGAAGAACTTTGGGTTATGACTGTAGAGGAGAGTTGGAAGGTGAAGTGGCCAGTGTGAGGAATGATGAAAATTGGTGGCTCTGTAGTTGTGGATACAGATAAGACTAAGGCTAAGACTAAGACTAAATCTAAGAAAAAAAATATTTGAGGGTATACAGTTCGTTTCCTTGAGAAACGAAAAAGCTCAGGTAGGGAGCAGGCCCTTTTCGCGAGGCCTCAACGAAGCAAGTTAGTTTCAATGGTAACAAGGAAAACGCAGGGTTTTGTGCGTGCGTGGTGGGAGCGTGGATATTCGGGAGAGAATGGAGAGGGTGCGCGTTCAAAAAACCAAGAGTGTGGAATGAGAAGCAAAATTTGGAAGACAGGAGACCTTGAATGAAAAGCATAGAAAGAGCAGATAGCGTGAGGAAAATTCAGAGTGGAAACAGTATAGTCTATAGTTATTTTAAATACACTTTTCCGAACTTCGATCACAAGTCCAATCAAATCCCACAATATTTATATCTACAGATGATTTGGAGAGTAGAAAATTTCACGATGTTCCGTTCTGTTCGGTTCGAAATAGTCTCGAGATAATACGAACGTTGGAAAATTCGTCGTCGCGAGAAGTGGGTCTCTATTGCGAGAGGAAACGGATATCTGGGTCGTGTTCCACACCGAAACTCTCTCTCTCTCTCCTCGATAGCCTCGCTATCTTTGGAAGCGTGCACTTCGAATCTCGTTTCGCGTCGTTTAAATTCGATTTTTCGGCTCGC